CTCACTTTGTAGCCCATGCTGGCCTCAAACTCATGGCATCCTCCTGCCTCAGCTTCCCAAGTACTGAGATTATAGACATGCACCACTATACCTGCTCATTTTCATTTTTTAATTTTTGGTTCACATTAGTTAATTTTTATGCTCTGGATTTTTCTGTCATTCCATCAGCTATTCTTGACCAGCTGTTAGCTCTTATGTTTAGAAAATACAAAATAATTTGAGTAGCAGTCTAATCAAGAAGATAAATCTCTGAAACCATGTTCTAGTTAATGACTGGGCTTTTCGACTTGGAATTTTCTATTGTACTTCAGCCTCCTTGGGAAGGAATGCCTTGCTTAAGTTCTTGAGCAGCCAGAAAGTGTTCTGTAGTAATTGTTTGATGGAAAACTGCTTGCCACTTTAATTACCTAAATTATTTTTACATTTTCTCACTTGAGCCCTACCTAGGAACTTTGGGAAGCTTAGGAAATAGCCTGATGTGAAGTGCTCAAAAGCTATTAAAACTTCAAAGAATCACAGGCTTTCTGCAATTCTTAGACTTTGAGGAATGGTTCATAGAAAGACATGCGTGTTGCTGCGCTTGACCTGCATATATGGGCCTCTTTCGAGGCTCGCAGGGAAATCCGACCCTTGCCACAAGGCAAGGAAGGGAGCAAGTTGGACGGGCCCACACACAGGCTAACCTCAGTGTGGGAGCAGGGTCAGGTTGGAATGTAGCTCATCCGTTGTCCTCGCCCCCACTCCCTGTGCTGGGTGATGGCTGACATCTCGTGTGGGCAGTCCGTTGGTGGAAAGTGTTTTCTTACATAGTTCCGACAGAATAGTCCTTAATTTTAAAACATATTATTTTCTTTATTAGAGTTTATTTTCTGATTTGGCAATAGAGTTTAAATTTTGTTAGATTTATAGCTTGATAATTTTTTTTTACAACCTCCCCACTGTAGATTTCTTTGTAAACCATGTTGTTCTGTTCTTTTTGCCCGTGAAGACTGCCCACTGTGGTCCCACTTGTTCTGTTTTTCTGCTGAGCATTCCTCTAGTGGCTGCTGTAAGAACACATGCTTCAGAACAGAAGTTACTGGGTCTGTAAAACTGCAGAATAGGGGATGGGGAGATAGCTCAGTAGAGTAAGCGCTTCCCTGGCAAGCACAAGACTCTTGAGTTCAGTCCCCAGCTCTGTAAAACAAAAACCTGCAGAATAGTGTGTTCTTTTAGGACATGGTCATGCACGGAATGAGGTCTTGTTTGGCAGTTAGTAACAGTGTATTTTGTCCATATAAGAATAGACAAGATTGTCATTGTTTTCATGGTATAACGTGCAGACGCAGGGATTTGTAAGGAGCGAGCAAGGAGTCTGTTCTGTTTCAAGTTTGCTTGTGGCTGCATTATCAACTTTGCTGTGAGTTCACAGTCTTCCAAATGGGTTTTAAGCTGCTTAGTAAAGGCACCAGTAACTCTTAGAGTAGTGTGTAGTAGTAAAGCTTGAAGTACTTTTTTTTTTTTTTTTTTT